TTACATCCGTGGCCGCCACGATCGTGTCCTTTTCCGTGGCGCTCTCTCCAAGGCCCGTAAGCAGACTTGCAGTATTCCTTAAGGCTCTCTGGGAGCAGTCTACCCATCCACCACTGACCATGGGCGCAGGTTAGCATTATCCACCAAAGTCAAAACACTCTACCCCCTCCTCCGACGACAGGATTGAGGATAACGTCAAGAAAATACAACTATTGTTCCCGGGATCACAGTTTCTTCTCAAATATAGATGGGCGCTAACTGATCGCGTTACGGGAGCCCTCGTCTCATTGTGCCATAAGGCTCACTCTCGCACTCCGACAGCATTTATTATCATAGACGTAACAGAGACAAGGGAGACTGGAATGACGGTTTCTGGCTTATAAGTCATCATCAGCCAATCATATGCTATCCTCACCTGTTCCTGATTCAGTTATTTTCGTAAATAAATACAGTTTGTGTGATAAAAAAATTTAATGTGCGTACCTAAATAGAATGATAATACAATAACTTTTTCTTCCTAAGAAGAGTAAGAATTGTAGGTGTTTCGCGGCATTTGAGGTACGTCATTTTACCATGTGCTGCTATCAAATTGGCATGCGGATATCGGACCAACCAGGAAAACATAAATGGGAAGGAGGCCGAAAACGGATCGAGATGAAGCATCACTGTTCCTCGTCAGCCTTTGTAGCCAAAAAGTGAAAGTCTATAAGATTATAGTACCCTTCGATGCAATTTCCTCCGATGCATATACCTTAGGTGTCAATATGGAGTATGTTATAACCTCTATATATATGACTGGTTGCCTGTTGGCAGTTTACTGAATATTACGCGGTTATCCCGCTGTGACTGATAGACTCCAGCCCGAATACTCACATACTTTCGGCCTGCACTTATAACCTTTCTAAATCAGATTACCAAAAAGTACACGGGGAACGCTAGGAGACCCATTGATGAGCCCCACTCCTCGCAGTTGTGTCAAGCGGCGGCAGAATACCGACGAACCACATGTCTAGCTAGTACCTGTGCCGTTAATGAGTTGTATCCTGTAATTTCTATGCACCTCTGTGATTCAAAAAATAAATAAGAGCAAGCCAAGCCAACATCAAAGATGCGTACTTTTCTCCAATTAGATAAGGCAGTGCCTTTTCCTGGATTGTCGAGGGATTGTAAAAGCCCATGGCCGATATCCCCTTCAGCAGTGGAGCATCACTAAAAATCATAAGCCAAGAAGACGTAATCATACATACTGAGCTCCTTGAAGGACTTCACGGAATGGAGCGGATTTGAAGGGTCGCTGCGGAGCAGCTCGATGTCGGATTCCTTGGTTTCGACTAGCTTAGTACCAAGGAGTTTGTTGATGTAGGAGCGCTCCGCACGCGATATTTCTAAAAGAGGGTAGTTAAAATCAGAACACTACATCCAGACTACTTACCATTGTCTGTGTCCTGGGTGCCATTATTCCTCTCCTGGTCTCCGTCTCCTGATAGTGGCGGAGGCGGAGGGACAGATGCACCGCTGTCAATGGCACGCAGTTCATTTAGGAAACTCTCCCACTTTTGGTTGTCTCCAGAAGAAGCTGTCTGTGGGGTCTACGAGAGAAGCTATGACTTAAAGTACTTACTGTCATCTTTTGGCAATCGGTCCAGACCTGTGATACACAAAAAACGCTCAGTTAGTCTCAGCAAATTTACCACGATAGTAGATACAAATACGACCAAAAGAAAAATGGAGAAGCGAAAAACCAGACCCATTATTGCCTCGAAAGCAGGAGGATGAATGAAAAACAGTTTCAAAATGGAGAAATAAACTATATAAATAAACAATGGTAAATGTAACCCTCGAAGCAAATCGTAATTTTGAACTGTTTGACTGCAGATGAAGGTACGCATTGACCAATGCATAAACACAGCCAAACAGCAATCGACATATTTGTCGACATCAATTGGTTCGGTGTTTTGCCAAGTACCCTGCCCCTCCCTCACGATTATTTGAAACGATCATTTTCAATACAGATCTGGAAAGCTCCAGCGTCTATGCGCTATATTGTACTGCCATACCCCTAAGAATCTTTTTTTCAGCTGGCATTTCATTCCTAAATACGGAAGATCTTTAGCCCTTCCTTCGCCCTAGGTTCGAAGTAACCAAAACTGAGCATTTTTAGCAGGCCGCAATGGCCGCCACGTCAGTCCAGACAGGGGTTTGGAGAGAATAATACTGTTGTCTAACCCCGTGCTTAGGTCAGCGAATTTTGTGACCGAGCCATCGAAGGCGACGAATTTTTCTTGCAAGCGGACGGTCCGATGGATGATGGAACTAGACATCTGAGACAAGGTTCGCAAGTCGAGGCCGCAATAGTTTCGGGAAGCGCAAGTTATCGTACAGCTCTGTTGGTATCAGGTCAAGCAGGGTTAGATGACGTGGAACAAGGCTTTTAACTGTAGCTGCATACACTCGGGTCTGTGCATTCTGCTGAGCATAGCTACTAGTTTCGAAGTAAACTGATGTGGTTTCATGTAGGTTGTATGCGGTGGATTACTCCCTTATGATATTGGCCACCAAGGGACACAAAAAAACGAGGTAGATGATATATTCGACTGCCTCGAGCCCCTGAAGATCCAAGAGGATAATACATTTTTCAGTGTGAAGCCACCTAATTGCAGTCGAATTTTGTTCAAAATTATATTGAGGTAGAATCGGAGGTAGATTCCGAAGAAAGGAACAAATCATGTTTTCTTGAAAGAGTTCTCAAGTAGGACGATATCTTCCGCATATTCGGGGTTCAAGATGAGAAGTGCCGTACTGGG